TACTGGTCCCCTTTGTGGGACCAGGAATGAACATCCAGGACAGCATCCCCAGTGTGTTTCAGAGGGATCTTGGCTGATCTTGGACCTAAATTTTAAGCGTGCGATTTAACTCGAGGTAGAGCGCTCAGACCTGAGCACTTGCACCCAGCGAGTAACCATCAGTTAGCAGATGGATTCCCGATTGTGGCGCGTTGGGAATTCTCCTTGCATATGTGCTTGTGTGTACTGACTGCTGGCAACTGACTGCTATACTCACTTCATTTTATGAAATGACCTTGGCTGACGCGAAGCTGTTGCAGCAAGACCCGTGGGACCATGCACCTTCCCGGCGGTGCCAGGTGCCTTCTTAATGGAAGTGGACGGGGGTTTGGAAGACTATCCCCTTGACAAGGCCTCTCCACTTTCAATTCTTCGGAAAAGGGATATCAAATGAGTTCGTCTATGGTTTTGTCAAAATGGGCCAGAGGAAAGTTGTGTATATACCTATTTCTTCGGTGTTTTTTCAGCTGTGGTATGTTTCGTCGGGTGCAGTCCAGTCAGAATAAGTGGTTCTGAAATTCAATCAGAAAGCGGGCAGCTGTTTTTGGACATATTATTTGTTGTATATTTATAAAATATTCCCAATCAAACATGGGAACACATCCAGCGGTCTCGGTGGGGAAAAGGGGGACGAGCTCCAATTGTCCACAACCCCCATATGCTCCCGGTCTTCATGTGATGGAAAGGTGCTGAGACCTGTCATGTAAAGGGTGCAAAAGCAACGGATAATGAGAGGATGGCATATGCCCTCAATCACCAACTGGTGTTACATTGAATGTTATGGGCACATGGAATGCGCGGCTATACAAGAGGGGATTTTCTCCAACCTCACAGCTTGGTTTTAACGCTCGACCTTCCTCTTGGTTTTGGGGTCCAAACAACAGGCTGGGGTGGTTGGCCGAACAAAAACAGGGAACGGCCCACGGACTTCGGCTGTTTTCGGAGACTTGCATAGCTCAGGAATCCAGGAAGTTTGGAGGTATCGAGCTTATTTTTTGCGGCTCATATCACAGGCACATACTGCCTCACACGTCTACGGGCGGCGCATAAGCCATAACTTCAACCTGTACCTCCAATGGCGTTGAACATAAGGCCAAGGGGCCAAGGACTGTTGACCCTGGATTCATCAAGGCGGATTAGGGTGGGTGTTTCTTCAAATGGCACCGAGTGATATCCTGAGACGTGGCGAGTGGACATCACCCCCCCCTGGTAAATTATGTCCACCAAAGGGCCCCGAAGTAAAATTCGCACCCCAATCCGAGCTGCAAGGATCTTGCCCTTCAGAACCGGAGATTGCTCCGGAAGGTCCAGGGTTTGCTCATTTTATCAGCTTCGTGCCCGATTCGAATTCGGTGCTGTCAGGCTAGTTGGGCAGAATACTGATGTGGGGTACAACGAGCTCACTTTGACCCCTGTCTTGGGTTCCTCAAGTCAGCGTGAATTCTAGTAGGACACAGGACTTCGCGATGTTTGGCGCTTGTTCGGGATCGTGGAGTCTTTCAGGGGTTGCATGAAGGTACCCATCTATTCCCCAAAAAACAACTTGCCTCTTTTCAGGTCCAACTGACTCTTTGTGCAACCAGTTCCAGCCAGGGCGCCAAAACGAAAACAGGGGCCAGTGTACCCATTGTATGTTTCACTCTCCACAAGGGTATTGGGTGAAAGTAGATGGCATTCACCCCCTTTTTGCTTGGTCATCCCCTTTACTTCCGCTCTTTGAGCCGGGAATTGCACCATCCATTTTCACCTAGCCAAACAGTACCCTAAGCCTGCGGTTTGGATTGGATGGGGCTTCTCGCTTTGGTTCGTTGCCCCTGGGGAGGCTCTAGTAGCTCAAGTGCGCAGCTTTCGGTGTTCATAAAGTATCAAGGGAGCCCGCCATCTCAGCCCCGGGGAGTGCAAGCCATTTGAGCCATTCTCCTTCAGGCACGTTGTCGGGTTCAGTATCCTGCAAATGTAGCCCTTCTGCTAGACAACTTTTCATCACGTGCCGAAGCAAGCTCGGCCCTGTGCCGTTTTGCACGACACAAGAGGCCGCCCTAAATCACCTTCGACTCCAGGTAAGGTGACTTGGCGGAATCTTTTCAGAGTATCTGTGATTTTTCCAAGGGAGACTGGGAGCGAAGCCTTAGAACTACCAAGGAGAACATGGGCTCTTGATTTCTTCTTTTGCGGTTTTCAGGCAAAAGGGGCTTCCCCAAAATGCCGCAGTTTTTTGCATATGCAGTCAGGGTGTTCTTCAGAAGTTCTGAGTGCAGTGCTCGATGGTAGCCGTGAGGCGACTCCCAAGTCTCAATGCAGGGTTTCCTCTTCTGAGGTACGGCGTCCCAACCCAAACCTTAGGCCCAGCTTTTGTCATTCCTTGTTTGTCCTCTTTTTGGTATCTAGACCTTTCACAAGGGCCAGCTATCGATGGAGTTTCTTTTTGATGGCTCATGCTTCAAGCGGTTGAGCGTCGAACATCTGTGGAAATCCTGTACCTTGCAAGTGGCGACGCCGAGATTCGTTTTTCAAATGGCTGGTTGATTCTCCTAAATGCTGGACTTGTTTTCTGGATGTATACAATTGACGGTACTTTGCTGGTTCCGTTTGTTTCCTAGCAATGTTTGTAATTGTGGCACATGTGCCATGGTCTCTGTACCCCTCTGCTTGGGGGTTGGAAAGGATGGTCACCAACCCCTCAATATGGGTGTTAGATCACCATGCTATAAGTTGGGTACCATGACCATGGCACATTTTGTTTTGCCCATGGCACAACAAATTCATTGGTAGGTTATTTTTCGTTCACTGAGGACGAGGAGTGGGGCTTATTGCAAACCTTCCACGGGGCCAAAGCTGAGCTAATCTTCCAATGAATACTTGGCAATCTGTAGTCTGAGATAAGAAGCGTTTGGTCCTGCGAGAAACACCCAGCTGGCGATTTTTGAAAATCTGGGGCAGCTGCGCTGAGCCCTTGGGTTGGTTGCAACATTTATCAACGCCCAGGTATCTGTTAAAAGGAAAACCAAGGGGTTGTTCATGCAACAATTTTACGCTGAAACCGGGGCTTGGTCCCACCCTAACTCTCCAGTGGAGTGACACACCAGTTGGATCAAACCTCTTATTGTTGGGGGCATATCGAAGGGACCCCACACGTGAAAGCCACTTGGGATGCTCTGCATCGGTTTTGAGACATCAAGACAAATTGAGAATGTGCTGTTTAACCGTTGTGATTCGTGAACTTTGTTTCCGTTTGGTTTTTTCTTGAACGACGCCTTCTTTCGGAACATCGTCAAGCCCTTGGGAAAGGATGGGGGGGAAACAAGTGATTCCTTGCCGCCAAGTCATGAAACTCACTTTTTTCCAGGTCAACTGGACCAACCCAATTGAGACGCAGTCTCAAATAAAAGAAAGGCACCCAAGTCTTTGATGGATGCCTGTCGCAAGGGGGGCGCAGTGAATGGTGGCTGCAAACGGACCAACGGAGGGTTGGGCCAAACCCTTGTTCAACAGGTCGGTTTGAGCCAATTTTTGGACCAACACCGTCCCTTTGAACTGCGGACAGAGGGTAATTTGGAGGATGTGTTACTCAAATGGACCTTCAACTCTGGGCTCAATTGTTGCAGCGGCCACAGTTGCCCATGCTGAAGTTGCCCACCGGGCTGGAATCCCCCCGATTTGTTTGGAGGGGCTGCTCGGGTTTTGGCCAACTCGTTTTGGGACGCAGAAATCGCTCAGCTCTACATGCTGACAAGCGGATGCCGATCTGCGCTTTATGTCCTTAACAACGAAAAGAGACGCCAACGTCGACGGAATGGAACCCACCACAAACTCACAAATGGACCCCAAGATGAACCCGTTGCCATTTTTTTGGCGTGTGGGTGTGCGCGCGTGTTTTTGGAGTTGGTATATGTATATATACCCCCCTTCCTGCTTGGTTTGAAGGGACATTTGGGTCCCCCTGTTTCGAGACGTACTCACACATACACACACACACACATTTGCGCCTTTTTTGGTCACTGGTTTCCCATCATAAAGTGGCTGATTAACCAATGTGCTAGGGGTTCATAGCAGAGGTTCATCATACATCGGGTTGTACATGTGTAGGTTCCATGTGATACGCTTTTTTGAACAGAGGTTGCTTTTCCCTGAAGAACCCGCGTTCGGAGTGCAACCTTTCCCTTGATTTTGACGGACAACGTGGCCCAATAAACTCGATTCGGAGGTTTCTCTGACAGAACAGTTAGCAACTGACCAGATTGGTACATGGGGTGGGGGGTTTAGACCATTCAATTTTCCAATGGTTGTAAGGAAACGAGGGGAACCCTCTAAAACCCAAAGTAAAGTGCTTCGTGGTTGGTTTGCAGCTTGCAAAAACGGCTCCAAACTTTTTCCGCTTGATCAACCCCTGGTCCTGTTGAGATATGTGTGGTAAAATGGAGTCAACTTGTCATGTTTAGACTTCACGCAGCTTTCGGCTCAGCGATCATTCACATTGGCAATATGCCGCGCGGTGAAGCATGGCACAAAGTATCCAACAAGCGGAAGCCAACAGGAAGGCCAGTTGAAAGGGACGCCAAAAAGGAAAAAACAGATGCTCTTTCAACAACGAGCTTCCTTAGAGGCAACACCATGTCTTCAAGAATCAAGGATCCTCGCCCAATTACTTTCTGGGACAACTGGAGAACTTTCGATATTCTGCGCATGGTTCAGAAGCGGGATCTGAACCCTTCATTTCCCTTTTTTGAAGGTTTCAAAGATGGTTTGTTTGGGTTTGCGATAGATTGGCTTCCTTTGGGGTTGATGTGGTGACATTTGTAGGCTGGACATATGACAATGAATGTAAATGGGGAACCCCCTCAAAAGCGTTTGGTGGAGAGACATCCCCATCTAAACGGTGCCCACCGGAGGGTCCCAATGCAAACCACGCAAACCCGTACCATAGATCTCTTGCCGTTTGCCCCTTGCCGCGTCATGCGGCAATGCAGAGCGGGTTTGAGCCGCTGGCCGCAGAGGTGAAGCCCTTGCTGCTGCATGAATCGGTGGAGCTGCTGATGCAGGTTGGAGGAGTCCAAACGTCTCGCAGTTTGAGGCGTTCGGAACCTCGGCTTCCTCAGGACTTGTACCAGACTTCAGTCCCTGGAAGAAACCAATCCAGCTACCTTGAGGTGCCACGTTAGAAGGGAGGGTAACAAAGGTTGAGGTTGCTGGTTTCTTCATGATTTGAATCAAGGCCGGAAAAGTTTAGACTTGAGGAGGAATCTCCCGTTCCAACGCGGTTTTGGGGGAAGGTTTCGGGCAGGTTGATTTGCAGGGAGGTATTTGTCGCAATATCTTTTCCTGTAGGAAATGCCAGGAACTTGCCTGAGGCAAACTTTCAGGACCAAGGAGGGGACGCGTGGCCCTTGTTTTGTGTTTTGCAGTTCACTCTTTGCCAGGTTCGGAAGAGTTCCATGACTTCCGATGCAACAGTAACCGAATGTGGAATACAGGGCTTCACGTCTGTTCGATCGAAAGGAAGGGTGGCTCCTGGAGATGTCTTTGAAGGTAGGGATGGTTGGGAGCGTGTCATGGCACGTTCAGCTTAATTGCGGGAACGAACGGTCCCAGGCCAATGTTTTCTCTGACCTGCGGTGGCAAACTGACCTGAGAGAGTCAAATGAGACTGGGTTTTCGAGCGATCTTCAATTTCCTATTCAAAGGACTCACATTTGGCCCTACTTCCCTTTTGAGTTAGCACACTTCTCTCGCTTATTTTGGGTGTTGTCACCGTTGTCAAGACTCGGCAAGTTCGAGCTTTTCCTGCCCAACCGGGCAGTGAAGTACTTGAATTACGGGAATCTGCTGAGATCGGACTTGAATTGCTGGCTTGCTCTAGAGCCATCTCAATATTGCAAGGGAATAAGTTGGAAGCCCATGGAAATCCTGTAACTTTGACGCAGTTGGTGCACTTGCAATATTTGAGAAATCAGCTGTGCAAAAGAGAACTGTTTGGGGCTGTACCAAAGCCGAAAGGAGGCCTCCCAAGTTTTTCCATGACAAGGGACCCCTGCAATGGTGGGTCTCCGTTTGGTTCCTCGCAAGCAAATTTAGTTCCCTGCTTCCTTTCAACAGCCAGAAGGTGTTGCCGGCAGAGTTGGGCAACGTTTTCCTCACACATCCCAGTTTTTGGGGAAAAGCAAAGGATGGTTGTTCAAACAAGCTGGCAGACTTGTTCGTTTTGCCTTCAGGACCTGCCGCGCTGTATGTGGACGGATCCTTTGGCCAGGGAGGCGAGCTTGAGGGAAGCGAAAAGGACGAAGTGCCTTCAGGGACCTCTACAAAAAGGGACCGCACATGTGTGTTTTTTTGACCTCTTCAAACATGTGCGAAACCGCCAGCTTTTCAACGGGCCTAAGCCTGAGGGCCAAGTGGATGCAGAGGTGATGTTGGGGATGTGAAATGAGCTAATGAAACAATCCATGCTTATGGGAACCCGTGCACAGGTCTCCTGGACAAAATGCACTTGGCACATGTGAAACTCGATCTGAATACTGACTAACCACCAGTTCCTGCATCCGGATTTTGACCATCCAAGTGGTCCCGAGTTTGGGCAAATGAGAGCATCTTTTTGTAGAATCGCTGGTTTCCCTTTAGAATCGCCAAACAAAGGGGGTGCCCTCAAGACACAGCCCACTGATCCCCATCGGGAGAAAGCCGCAGGGCACTCGGCGGAGATCTTGCGGCACCTGGCGCCGGAGGGGCGCCTCGTGGCGCTGGACGTGAACCAAAAGGCCGAGGCAAGAGGAACAGAGAAGCAATGTGTGTATGTAGACATATATGTATATACATATGTATGTATAGATTATATATATATATATATTTACACATGTATATAGAATATATACATATATATATATATACTTATATATATATATGGTACCCCCCCAAAACAAAAACCCACCTGTTTGCAGAATTCACGGGTATTTCCAGTGAATTTAGCGTTTTTTGGGGGTCTGAAAACGACGCAACAAGGGCAATTGCTCAGGACGTTTCATGCTTTGGCAAACTCTCAAAAAAAAGAAAGAAATCGGAAAACCAGACTCTCTGAGGGAAAGGTAGCTGGAAACCGGAAAAAAAACCGAAAAACAAAAAAATACGAAAAACAACAAACAACAGACAAAAAACAGAAACACATACTCTTTGAGGTAGCTGGCAGACATTCTCCCACACGAGTATGGTTTTTCGTTTTTTTCTTCTTCCTCGGTTTTCCTGCTTGTCTGATCTAGCAAAACCACATCTGCCAAGTAGGCTTCTTCAGGTCTCAAGCTCAATCTGTCTGACTTCCTTTTTGTTTTATGATATTGTTTTCATTCACTGGCTTAAACATGTAATCATCAAGGCTTAGGAATCTAGTATTTATTATTTGGAATTAGTATCAGTCCTTATAAGAATGTAATTATATTCATCAGGAAATAGATAGGATTGTATACCTCCATAAAATCATAACTTCTATAGTATAAGATTGCATTGCTTTCTTATGATCTTCTTTTCAGAAATGCCTGTCTTGTTTAGGATTTCGAAGTTATGTTGTAGCTTTCAAGGATCTCCAGAAGTGGTATATCCTAGAGTTAGTAACTGTTTCCATCATAATTCTTTTGCTTTCACATCTTGTCTTAACCCTTTCTTTAACCTCAGAATTTGGAGGTGGTACAGGATGGACATTGATTCCACCATTATCCACTTATTTTATGCCTTCATCACCTTCAAGTACTGGTATTCCAGTGAATTTTGGCCTTTTTTTGGGGGTCTGAAAAAGACGCAAAAAAAGGGCAGTTCCAAGGGCAATTACTCTCTGGACGTTTCATGCTTTGGCAGACCCTCAAAGAAAAGAAAGAAATCGGAATCCAGACTCTTTGAGGGAAAGGTAGCTGGAAACTCAAAAAACCGAAAAAAGAACCGAAACAACCAAGAAAATAGGAAAAACCATACTCCCTGAGGGAAAGGTAGCTGGCAGACATTCTCCCACAGGAGTATTGTGTTTTTTTGTTGTTGTTTCCTCTGATTTTTTTGTTTTTTAAGCGGTTTTCCTGCTTGTCTGATCTAGCAAACCATATCTGCCAAGTAGGCTTCTTCAGGTCTCAAGCTCAATCTGTCTGACTTCCTTTTGGTTTTATTATATTATATTCATTCATTGGTTTAAACTTGTAAGGCTTAGGAATCTAGCAAATCCTGCAGTGGATCTAGGATTACATGACACATATCATGTTGTAGCACATGTTCATTGTGTTCTTGCTTTAGGAGCTATAATTGCTATCTTCTCTAGAATTATCTTCAATGGAGAATAGATTGTTGGTACTAAGAACTGATTACTTTCATCCTTATGTACACACACACACTCTCGCTCGCTCGCTCGCTCGCTCGCTCTCTCTCTCTCTCTCTCTCTCTCTCTCTCTCTCTCTCTCTCTCTCTCTCTCTCTCTCTCTCTCTCTTTTTATCATTGCAATTTAATATGCATCTCCTGGAATTAATGTTATGCCAAGAAGAATCCCATCCTTTCCAGATTCTGTTCATTCCCCCCACAGATCAAACAGTTTTATTTTTTCCCAACAGCTGAAAGCTTTGGGGTCTCAGCCCAGATAGGCTCCGGGGTGGTTCGGGGCGACCCAGCTAAGGTTCCACCAGGGTTCCACCAGGGTTCCACCAGAGTTCCACCAGGGTTCCACCAGGGTTCCACCAGGGTTCCACCTGGGTTCCACCAGAGGTTCCACCAGGGTTCCACCAGAGTTCCACCAGGGGTTCCACCAGGGTTCCACCAGGGGTCCACCAGGGTTCCACCAGGGTTCCACCAGGGTTCCACCAGGGTTCCACCAGGATTCTACCAGGGTTCCACCAGGGTTCCACCAGGGTTCCACCAGGTTCTGCAAGGGCGGGGTGGTCTGGGGTGGTTTGAGGTAAGGTTTCACGAGGGTTCCACCAGGGTTCCACCAATTTCTTCGAGGGCTGCGTGTTTGAGGAAGGTTTCACGAGGGTTCCGCCAGGGTTCCACCAGGGTTCCAGGCTGTGGGGTGGTCTGGGTGGTTTGAGGTAAGGTTCCACGAGGGCTCCACGAGGGTTCCACCAGGGTTCCAGCAATTTCTTCGAGGGCTGGGGTGGTCTGGTTTGAGGAAGGTTCCACGAGGGTTCACCAGATTTCCACCAGAATTCTGCCAGGTCACCAGGTTCTGCGAGGGCTGCAGGGTGGTCCGAGGTGGTTTGAGGTAAGGTTCCACGAGGTTTCCACCAGGGTTCCACTAGCCCGTCGTGCTCCGGACGAGGGTTCCACCAATTTCTTCGAGGGTGCGGCGTGGTCCGGGGAAGGTTCCACGAGGGTTCCACTGGGGTTTCACCAGGGTTCCACCAGCGGTCGGGGCCGGTTTTGAGGTAATGTTCCATGAGAATTCCACCAGAATTCCACCAGGTTTTGCAAGGTAAGGTTCCATTCCAGCACAGTTCTAGCAGGGTCCCACGAGGTTCTGCGAGGGCTGCGGGGTGGTCCGGGGTGGTTTGAGGTAAGGTTGTATGAGGGTTTCAGGGTTCCACAAGATTCTGCGAGGGCTGTGGGCCCTGAGGTTTGACAGGGTTCCACAAAGCTCTGCAAGGATTCCACACGGGTTCCACAAGGCTCCACAATGCTCCACCAAGGGTGTGTCGTGCGCCCGTCGTCTGAAAAGCCATCGGATCAAGATCGCTTTGCTCATGGGCGGAGCACTAAGCAAAACCGAAATCAATGGTTTTGATCACACTTTCACTGTTTTGTGACTTGCTCACTTGCTCAGGCAAATGTTGGCTTTGTTGCAAATCAGATCACGTCGCTGCGGAACTCACGGTGCAGCAGAGTAAATGCTTGGCATTGCTGCTTGGTGGGCTTTGGGTTCCAAGAATTCCACGAGGCTGCGAGGGCTATGAGGTCAGACACCAAATTCTGCAAAAGCTATGGGGCAGCCCTGCCACAAAAGTTGCGTGAGAACGGTTTGCAAGGTTCACCGGGCCTATAGGGTCGGGGCCCGATTGCACTGTTGGGGCCTTTGGGCCCGATCGGCCCCGATTGCGCCATCGCGCCCCGATCGGGGCCCGACTCAGTCGCGCCCCGTCAATTGTACCAAGCTGGCATCGCCTAGTTTTGCTACAGACACAGTTGCAATCCGCATGCTAAGGAAAGCCGGCGTTGAGGTATAATATGGGTGGTTGGACGGGACGATCGGGGCCCGATTGCACCGTCGGGACCCGATCGGGCCCCGATTGCACCGTTGGGCCCCCGATCGGGCTCCCACCAGGGTTCCAGTTCCAGCAATTTCTTCGAGGGCTGGGGTGGTCTGGTTTGAGGAAGGTTCCACGAGGGTTCCACCAGATTTCCACCAGAATTCTGCCAGGTCACCAGGTTCTGCAAGGGCAGGGTGGTCCGAGGTGGTTTGAGGTAAGGTCCCACGAGGGTTCCACCAGGTTTCCACCAGGGTTCCACCAGCCCGTCGTGCTCCGGACGAGGGTTCCACCAGGGTTCCACCAATTTCTTCGAGGGTAGGGCGTGGTCCGGGGAAGTTCCACGAGGGTTCCACTAGGGTTTCACCAGGGGTCCACCAGCGGTCCGGGCTGGTTTGAGGTAATGTTCCATGAGAATTCCACAAGAATTCCACCAGGTTTTGCAAGGTAAGGTTCCATTCCAGCACAGTTCTAGCAGGGTCCCACGGTTCTGCGAGGGCTGCGGGGTGGTCCGGGGTGGTTTGAGGTAAGGTTGTATGAGGGTTTCAGGGTTCCACAAGATTCTGCGAGGGCTGTGGGCCCTGAGGTTTCACAGGGTTCCACAAAGCTCTGCAAGGATTCCACACGGGTTCCACAAGGCTCCACAATGCTCCACCAAGGGTGTGTCGCGCCCGTCGTTTGAACAGCCGTCGGATCAAGATCGCTTTGCTCATGGGCGGAGCACTAAGCAAAACCGAAATCAATGGTTTTGAGCACACTTTCACTGTTTTGTGACTTGCTCACTTGCTCAGGCAAATGTTGGCTTTGTGGCAAATCAGATCCCGTCGCTGCGGAACTCACGGTGCAGCAGAGTAAATGCTTGGCATTGCTGCTTGGTGGGCTTTGGGTTCCAAGAATTCCACGAGGCTGCGAGGGCTATGAGGTCAGACACCAAATTCTGCAAAAGCTATGGGGCAGCCCTGAGGAAAGGTTCCAGCAAAGTTTCACGCTGAGCTCCACGAAAGTTGCGTGAGAACGGTTTGCAAGGTTCACCGGGCCTAGGTCGGGGCCCGATTGCACTGTTGGGGCCTTTGGGCCCGATCGGCCCCGATCGGGGCCCGACTCAGTCGGGCCCCGTCAATTGTACCAAGCTGGCATCGCCTAGTTTTGCTATAGATACAGTTGCAATCCGCGTATTTTTTGGGTGGTTGTTAGAACTGTCTAACTTTGAAGACAATTTGAATAGGAGTTCCTTTTCAAAGGAAAACAAATAATTGGACTTGTTATTCCAAACTAGATTTTGAAGAGGGTTTCCTTGCTTAGGGTGAGCTGATGCTGGTCAAGTCGCATGGGGCAATCCAAATAAAACAACTGCATTCTACCTCCAAGAAGGCCTTCAAACGGCAAAGAGGTAGATCCATCCGGGGGGTAGCATCTACACACATATATATATATAGAAAAATATATATATATATATATGATATCTATATCTATATACATAAATATATATATATATATATACATGCTACCCCCCAAAAAAAAATAAGCTCAGGTGACATCCCCAACAGCATGTGGAACCCTGGTGCAACCCTGGTGGAACCCTGGTGGAACCCTGGTGGAACCCTGGTGGAACCCTGGTCCCTTCAGCTGTTGGGGAAAAAGAGAACAAATAACTCCCAGAATCCTCGCGGAACGCCCTGGGACCATCCTTGCCACCGGTGTTGCTGAGGAGGCCGCCTTGTAAAGCTACGAGTGACAGCGCAATCTCGCCCTGATCCGAGCCCGACGGCGCAATCGGGGCCCGATCGGGGCCCGACGGCGCAATCGGGGGAATCGGGGCCCGATCGGGCCCCGACGGTGCAATCGGGGCCCGATCGGGGCCCGACGGTGCAATCGGGCCCCGATCGTCCCGCCAGCCACCCATATTATAGCTCAACGCCGGTTTTCCTTAGCGTGCGGATTGCAACTGTATCTATAGCAAAACTAGGCGATGCCAGCTTGGTACAATTGACGGGGCCCGACGGCGCAATCGGGGCCCGATCGGGGCCCGACGGCGCAATCGGGGCCCCGATCGGGTAGATTCCATTTAAGTTGTAGATAGAAAATGGAGAAGCAACATCCTGGGCAAGGAAGTTCTCTTTCAAATGTATTTTGAAGTAAGAATGCCAACCAACAACATTCTTTTAAAGGAAATCCTATTCAAATCGTCTTAAATTCCCAGAAACTTTCTTTTTGGTTTTGTTCACTTTTAGTTTCTATTTGAATTCTACTTAGAAAATTGAACAAGTCATTTTGAAAGCGAACATTCCTTTGAACATCTAATTTGACATACGAATTCCAAAGAATAAAGCACATATTTGAATTCTCTTTAAACTGGAAATTATACTAGAATTACATCCTTTACTAAATTTTATTTAAGCTATGGCAAACAAATACAACTCGCTTGAACAGCTAATTTCAAACAATAATTTTGACTACAAATCTTCTTTGCAAAGGAAATCCTATTTCAGCTCTCTTTAACTAGAGACTCTACTGTCTACTTTGTTTCTTTCCTGAGTAAATTCTATTTCAATGTTAATTAGAACATTGAACAAACAAAATCCTAGCAAAAGACACCCATCTAACTTCGTCATTAAAACAATGTTGACACAATAATTCCAATTGAAACTTATGTAAATCCTTGTCGAATCCTTGTTGAATTCTAAGCAGAAAGCTATAGCAAGTCAAAAGCAGTGAGCTTATTGAACAGAATTCACTGAAAACACATCTACGAGAACTAAGCCCGATTCCTGTAAGTGAGTTAATGAACCCTAAACCCTACACCCTAAGCCTGTCAATTGTAAGCTGAGGTTTGATCAAAGGATGCAAACACAATAGCTATATTGGAGCCAGAAGTGAAAAGGGAAGGACCTAATACGGTAAAATCATGGAGCCAATGGCTCAACAGTAAAAAATGTAAAGAAGTAAAGGAGTAAAAAGCAACATTCTGGAGCCAACTACCCAAAAGGAAAAAATAGAGAAGTAAACAAGTAGAAGAGTTTTTTGTAAAAATCAGGAGCCAATGGCCCAAAAGTAAAGAAAATGCAGTAAACATGTAAAACAAACGGTAGACACCGTAGAACAAAGTAACACATTTCGGTCCTGAAGTAAAATGCTCTGGCCATGGACTTTTTTCTTTTATTTTTTTGTTACGTTTTTACCTTCTTGTTTTAATATATATATATAAAATAAACAAATGACACCATACTAATAAATAAATATTTTTTTTGCCTTTTCACTTTTGGGTCACTTGCTCCTGAATTTTACTTTTACTTTTTCACTTGTTTACTTTTTTTACTTTTGGGTCATTGGCTCCAACATAGCTGTTATTTTGCATTTTCTGACAAGGTCTCGAGTAGAAACAGGACAGAGGTAGATCCAAATCGACTGAAGCTTCATTCGGCATGGATTCAAGATTCCCTGGCAAGGTTTGGCCTGAAGCTTCCAGTTTGTCTTTGAACATGCGCCTTTTTTGGCTGCTGTCCCGAAAGTCCCAATTCAGTCAGAACACACTGCAAATACCGGTGAATTCTGAAGGAAGGTTGGTCCATGGGGTGGGCGCCATATATATAGAAATATATAGATATATCATAGCCAGTATTTGATTATTATTCTCATTCTCATTGTCTTTTTGTGGCTAGTGCGTGTGGGTGTGTCTCAAACAAAATGGGGACCTGAAACATAGTGGGGTTTCCCAAGGGTTTCTCTTTAATTCAACCCCAAAGACAGTAGCCTGAAAACAAAGACCCATGTTTGGTCCGTTTTGGGCTCCGGATCACAGCAGGGTCCGTGCTCGCTTTCGGCAGGCGGCGCGGTCCCTTTCAGACGCACGGCTGCGCTTTGTCCAGCGGTCCTGCCGGGACTTGTGCCAGCTCTTCGGGGAAGAGGACCCATGGCCTTCAAAACACCACCGTTTTTTTCCCACCCGACAGGAAGGGGTTATGTTGCAATCCGCGTTTGCGATGCTTCTGCACCACGCCCCCACCCAGTGTCCCGCCAGAGCAGCTCGCCCCGCCGAGTATCTCGCCAGAGCGGCTCGCCAGTAAATCCCGCCAAGTATCCGCCAGAGCGGCTCGCCAGTGGATCCCGCCGAGTATCCCGCCAAGTATCCCAGAGTAGCTCGCCAGTGGATCTCTAGCTCGCCAGCGTATCCCGCCGAGTATCCCGCTGAGTATCCCTTGCCGGTATATCGTGCCGAGTATCTGGCCAGTATCAAGCCGGAGTGGCTCGCCAGCATTTGCCAGTGGATCCCGCCAGTATCTCGCCAGAGCAGCTCGCCAGTCTGGTTTTGCTTAATCCCGCCCGTTGGTGCCTTCGTGTTTTCAGTGTGCCCTGAGGCTCGGAAAGGGTGATGCTTTTGGGTTGCTTTGGGTTGTGAATAAGCAACTTCGTTTAATCCCCCGTCGGGTTTCTTGTTGGAAGGGGCTTGGCTTTGTTAACGGAGCCGCTGTTTGAGTTCTCGAGATCGGAATGCAAAGCTTGTTGAGCAGTCATAGGCCCCAAGGGTAGTAGAACCACCCTGCTAGAATTGAGAGTTTTGGGAACTTCTTTTATGGGCAACCCTATGCAAACCACTAGGAACCCAAAGCCGATTTTGAGGGTTCCAGTTCCTCATGTGACACAAACCCATATTCTGGTGGGTGTTCGACTTGTTGGATCGGAACTCACGCCGATCGCTTGCAAAGGGCCACCAATGTGGACAAGCCCATCTGAACATATTGCAACGAGCTGAAAAATACTGCGCTTTGAGCAATCCCACCCTCCACACTCACGAGCTTACGACCGTGAACACGGTTGTGTGAAGTCAAACATGAAGCATGGTCTTCGAGTTTGCGTACAGCTTGTTTTTTCTTTATGGCCATTTTTGTTGGCCCCGAAGTAAAATGGGTTTGGTCGCTGCGCATATGAGGTCACTTGCAAGTCTAAGTCAGGCCAAGCGGGCTCCTCCTCAGGCTGGAGAAAATGCGGGGCGTAGGAAACGGGGCTGTCGTTTGTCTTAGTGCGAAAAGGGCGCATCTCATTCTGAAGGCACCAGCCATAGCTGACCTTTTCGGTCAGCTTGGTTGAACATAGTCGGCGCTGGTTCCGCTGGGATCACAATTTGCTTATTGCGACGTCAGCCATAAGACTCCTTTCATATTTCATAGAGGTACCTTGCCAGATTGCTGTTAATCTTGTGTTGAAAAGGGGATGGCCTCCAGCCCTGATGGACTTCGAGTCCACATGCACCAGTTGGTCAGGTGGATCAACCAGTCAAATCGAGTTTCAACTGAGCGCCCGAAACCCCACTGGCCAACTTAGTTGGTTCTGCAGTACCTGGTTGAATTGGGGCTATTAGTAAAGCCAACAATTGGGTGAGTCCTTTTCCCCAATATGGTGGTTTGCCTTTAAACTCGCAAAAGCTACCTGCGTCACCATCTAGAACATTTACAGACTTATTTCTTCGGAGCATTTCTCAGGAGCCGGCTGGCGTCCTGCTGGACCTGAGCGTCCAGCTCAGCGCGCAAGAGGAGCTTTCAGCGTGGGTCTGGGGGCGAAAGCTACAGTACGAGAATTTGTAGTTTCATGGGATGACTTGTTTGGCACATTCACCAAACTACTAGCAGGAAATAGTAGTACTCAGATTCCACGTCTTTTTGGGGGACATCATGTTGTTTGACGTGTGGCTCAAATGGAAGCCAGACATCTTTGGTCCACAAGCCTAAGCCCTTCAAGGGGCTTACGTAACGAGTGTAGTTTTCTGGTTGGCAGCAGTAAGCCGAGATCCAACACAATCCTTGCGAGGAGACAATTTGTGATTTTTCCACACCTTGTGCTTGTTGGCTGTACCCAGGCACCCCCTTTCCGGTAATCCATAAACTAAAGCCACCAAACAAACACGACCAAACCAAGACACCAAGCCAAACCGTCAAACCACAACCGCCAAATCCAATCAACAAACCAAGCCACCAACCCACCAACCAAGCCACCAACCAGGCCCCCAAGCCAAGCCAAGCCACCAAACCACAACCACGAAATCAATCACAAAAAAACCCTGAGGTTTCAAGGGACACAAACTTCCCCCTGCCCTTTACGAGGTCAGCATATATGCAAGAGACTACCCCTTCGCAAGGTCATGAACTATGAACTGTTCAGGGAGTCTTGGCAACCAAGGATCTGCGTCAAGCTATGTCCCAATGAAGTTCGCTACGTCTCATCCTTAGAGCAAGAGAATCATTATTTGGTGCTGCGGACTAACGTGGAACCCACAAATTGCAACCCATTTTAGGAGTTTGTCTTAGCCGCTTTTTGGGTTCCTTCCGTTTAATTCTGTTCCCGTTGAAGCCCTAGGTATGGCATTGAGCGAAGTGCAGAGCTTCTTGGAGCATGCCATGTGGGTGAGCTTGTCACAAGTGGAGCTCAAAATTCGCAAGCAATTCACATCAATACATATATACATTTTTTGGTGAGGTACCCTTTTTGGCGTCAAAGGGAAGCCGAGCGAACACAGCCAATTTTTCAGGTCCCATTTTGACACCATCCCACATGCTCTAACACACCTTTGTCCCCAAAGCCGGTTGAAACAAGGTATGTCTTTCTCTCTTGCTTTCTTGGTTTTTTCCCCAGATAGCCTATAGCTGCAAGCTATAGGGGTTCTACATTCTAATAAAGAGGGGAAAGTGAGTGACGGCTGGGTGCCGGTCTGTGGTGCTGGTGTAGGGGGGGTTGCTGTTTGGGGTGATGGTGGTGGTGCGGGCGAGATTGCTAGACGGGTTCTCTGGAGGTGCTGCTCTTCGGGGGGTGTTGTCAAAGGTGCTGGTGTGCAACCATTGGCCTGATTTTGGCTATCTGGGGTCTATGCTGGCGTATCTTTGAAAGGGACACTCACCACTTTGTTCCTTTTTTCTTTTAACTTAGGTGGTTGGGGGTTCTAACAACAAGACACACCCACCAATCTTCAACCAAAAACGAGTACTTGGAACCCTTCGGTTCGATGCAACGCCCGGCGGTTTCCTCGAGAGGAGCGCGCCAAAGGGCTGAGCTTTCAGGCGGACGCGTTGGACGGGCGCCTCACGCCCTGGGCGCGGCGGGCGGACGAGTGGCTAAAGCAGGTCCGCGCCAGGGAAGGACGTCGACCGATTCAGAAACCGATTCAGAAACTATTTCGCCCGATTCAGAACCTATTCTTTTTTCCGATTCAGAGACTCTTCTCTCTATTTTCTCCCGATTCAGAAACTATTCTCGCGCGATTCAGAAACTATTTACATTCATTGCCCTGGCACATGGTAAGCACACCCGGTCAAGTGCACCCGCTCAGCTCTGCACACATGCCTGGCACATGGTAAGCGCACCCGCTCAGGTGCACCCGCTCAGCACTGCGCGCATGCCTGGCACATGGCACGCGCACCCGCTCAAGTGCACCCGCTCAGCACTGCACATGTAAGCACACCCGCTCCAGTGCGCCGCCTCGCACATGGTAAGCAACCCGCTCAAGCGCGCCCGCTCGCACGCATGCTTGGCACATGGTAAGCACACCCACTCAAGTGCAGGCGTTCAGCGCTGCTTGGCACATGGTAAGCGCACCCGCTCAAGTGTCAAGTGCGCCCGTTCAGCGCTGCGCACATGCTTGGCGCATGGTAAGCGCACCCGCTCAAGTGCACACGCTCAGCAATGCACACATGCCTGTCACAATGCGCACGTGCCTGTCACATGGTCAGCACCCGCTCCAGCGCTGCCCACATGCCTGGCACATAATAAGCCCGCTCCCGCGCTCAGCACTGCACACATGCGTGGCGCATGGTACGCACACTTGCTCAAGCGCACTCGTTCAGCACTGCACAAATGCTTGGCACATGGTAAGCACACCCCCTCAAGCGCACACGCTCCGCGCGCCGGTGCGCGCGGCCACTCCAACAGCAAACGTAGTTCTGCTTTGACCGGGGTCCAGACAGCCAGTTGCCAGGTCCAGTCTGGCAGCTGGCAGCTCCAGACTGGAAGGTTGGGCTGGCAGCTTCTCTCTGCCAGTTTGAGGGCAACCAACCTGGCAGCTTTAGACTGGTCGAGATTGGCGCCAGTCTCGACCTTGAAAGTTGGGACTGGCAGCTAAAGCCTGCTCCAGACTAGAAAGTCGGGACTGGCAGCTCCAGATTGCCATTTGTTTCTGAATATTCGTTTCCAAATTCCAGTTTCCGAATCCCCTGCTTTGGTTTTCGAATCCTCGTTTCCCAGCCCTAGTTTCCGAATCCGTCGCTTGTGTTTCCGAATCCGGCGCTTTAGTCTTCTTAATTTCTAAACCCTAGTTTCGAGTCCGTCGCTTTAGTTTCAAAATCCGCCGCTTTAGTTTCCGAATCCGCCGCTTTAGTTTCCAAATCCGTCGTTTCTAGTTTTGCAAATCCTAGTTTCCGAATCCGACTTTCTAGTTTCCGAATCCGTCTTTTTAACATTTAGTTTCCGAATCATAGTTTCCGAATAATGCGCCCCATTAGTTTCTGAATTCGCTGTTTTAGTTTCCGAACACTTAACCTAAAAAAAACACGGGTGATTTGCGGTCAGTGAGGGCAGTCACCAGTTGGTGGTGCTTTGTTGTGATGGCTACAGGAAACATTTGTAAGAGTGATGGTCGGAAGGCATGGTCCTTTCCTTTGCGGTTTAGATAGCCGCAAAAGGGCAACCATACGAAATCAGAGATTTTGTTGTTGTGAAAGCTCATGGAGAAAGGGGATCCCATGAAATTGTTTTTGGTGGACACCAAAAGGACAGGCGAAAGGTAAAGCGGCTAACATCAAAGGGATGTCCCCTTCTCGATGGTCAAGGTTGTTTTCTGACTGATGGACACATGCTTTGTTTGGTTCAAGAAAACAGGAGCCAAAGGAGTTTTTTTTTAGATGGTTTAAGGGAAATCAAAAGCGGTTGGGTAGTTTTTTAAAGGCAATGTTGAAGAAACACTTTATCTTTGGCGTTTCTTTTTGTTTTTCTACAGGGACACCAGAAGGACACATACCTAACAATTTCAATCTCGGAAGGTCATGCATCCAGGTCAAAGACAGGACGAATATGTGTTTTGAAAGGCTTTCCAACTTTAAACATGTGTTTGGACGTTTTTCGAGACCCCTGCATGGTCATTGGTCTGGGCCCTTTTGGACCTTTTGTCCAAGGGAAAGCCACACCGACTCACAGGGCGAAGAATGGAATGCTCGAACGAGGGATCTGTTCAATGTATCAAAGTGCTCATGCAGAGTCTTCAAGAAGGATGCCCCCATCACCCCCCCTCCCCCTCCCCCAAACACACAGCCCCCCAAAAGACCCTGCTGCACACCCGAGAATCACAAAAGCAGTTCTGAACCACAGGTCACAGCAGCAGAACTGGCCTGGGTGCTGCAGGAGTACCTCGTCCGGGTAGTTTCTCCGGTGTTTTTTTTTTAATGTGAGGGATTTATGACTCCTGCTAAAAGTTGACTTTTTGACCCGAGAAACCACTCAGTTTTGTTGGATACTTGATGTTCGGTTTGTGGCGATATTTTTGGTTGGTTGTTGTCTGCCCTCCTTGCTGCAACAGTCGCAAGCTATGGGGCCGTTGCAGCTTGGGGCTGGGGCTCCGGAATTGTTCCGACAGCTGCTGTTGGGCATCTGAGAATTCGGTGGGTTTCGTCTATCTGCGAGGTGAAATTTGTTCAGATCAAAGGAAACCATGGCAATCGCCCTTTGCTGGGAAGCGCAACCGATCTCGTCCACGTGCATCCGCAACCAGGGGTTCCCAACAAGGTACGGAGAGCAGAGCTCGCTGCTCGCTTGGCGCCTAGCGGAAGCGATTCTGCACCGCCAGGCAGCGCCGGGACGTCGCCTTTTGCGAAACGTGATGACTTTGCCTTTGGTTTCGGATAAAGCTACATGGGCCATTGGCAGTTTTTGGGCGGCCCATGAAGTGCCATGCCAATTGTCTCATGTGATCATATCGAATTTCTTAAAGCTGAGGCTTCTTTTGGATCTCTGGTCGGGTTTGGCCCGAAGTGAAATCTCTGCAGCATATTGCTTGTCCTTCTAGTGAGACTGGCCCATACCAACAAAAGGCGGTGGTCTCTTCCCCAGATCAAACGCATCACTTGAGACCTGACACCCTCCCCATTTTCCATTTTGGGCACCACAGCGCTCCCGGAGCCGCTTCGGATCGCGAGGCCGAAAAGGGGTCAGCTTTGACATCCGCAGACCTGGCGGAGGTCTGCCGCGCGGTGCCTCGATGCGAGAGGTCATGAAAGGCACCCAAAGTGGGGGTGTCTCAAAGGGATTCCTTTTACAGAAATTGGGTTACCCTTTTTGAAAAACACACCCTCTATTCGAGAAACATGTCCTGGATCACACTCGTTTTTCATATCATTTGCTGAGGGGGTGTGTCCAGACGGGTGACTGAAGGGAGGTTGAAACAAAAGTTGTTGAGCAGATGTTTTAACAAGGATGAATTGCCCAAGCCTGCCTGTGCCAACCATTTGAGAGGATGCCCTCTCTTCCAAATTGCCACACTCAAATGGGTTATGAAGGGCTTGTACAAATACAATCCAAAATACCCCAAAAACCATGGCATCCCGACAGAGCACGTTCGTTTTCCACGAAAGTGGTGGATCCGCATATCAAGCATAAGCTAACGGGAATGGGGGGGGGTTCCGTGGGTTTAGCGGGGAATCATCACTCTTGGAGGTTAATTAATCCAAGGTTTAGATTAGCGAAAACCCCTGGCACGGACAGCTTTTGTGGCTTGGATCTATTTGGATTCGATCACATTTTGCTTACTTTCGCTCTTTTTTCCCTCCCTGTTCGAATCAAGCCTGATATTTTTTGATTTGGGGCTCTCAAAGTGACCGAGCAAGGTTCCAATTGCAGGAAAGTCTCCCCCCCCCCCCAACCAGCACCACCATCCATGGACAATTTTGCAGCACCGCCCTTGTTGAGGGGTTCCGCATTTGGTGGGGTACGCTATTTTCCGTGTTCCCCTCAGCTGAGATTCCTGCAGCATGGAAACAAAGTAAAGCCTGACTTCAAACAGAACTTGGTATTAACCCAGTTTACCCGAATTGCTCACCCTTGATTTGCTAGTTTCGGTTCTGAGCCAGGCCAGTGGAGGTTTATGTTAAAGTCCTTGACAACCATAGGAAGTCGCTTTCTCGCGTTTATTCTGCGTGGCAGGGTGTGTTGTTATTAATGGCTGTTATTTCTTTGGCGTTGTTCGACGTGGGCCCTTCGCTACCAGAGAACGAGCATCGGTCGCATGAATGTGCTACAAAGGGGATGACATTGGGCACAGTCAGCATCATCGTGTGGATGGACGGAATCCTGCACCACCTGAGAAACCCTGGAATGATTTGATTCCAGTTGAAATACCAACAAACAATGGTTTCCCATTGTTTCCTAGTGGGGGAACTGGGGGTGGCTCACCAACAGCATATGTCAGCTGGGGATACATTTTTTTGTTGATTGAATGTTTCTCTCTTTCTCTCTTTCTCTCTTTCTCTCTTTCTCTCTTTCTCTCTTTCTCTCTTTCTCTCTTTCTCTCTTTCTCTCTTTCTCTCTTTCTCTCTTTCTCTCTTTCTCTCTTTCCCTCTTTCCCGCTTTCGCTCTTTCTCTCTTTCTCTCTTTCTCTCTTTCTCTCTTCCTCTCTTCCTCTCTGTCTCTCTTCCTCTGTTTCTCTCTGTCTCTCTTTCTCTCTTTCTCTCTTCCTCTCTTTCTCTCTTTCTCTCTTTCTCTCTGTCTCTCTTTCTCTCTTTCTCTCTTCCTCTCTTTCTCTCTTTCTCTCTTTCTGTCTTTGTCTCTTTCTTTCTTTCTTTCTTTCTTTCTTTCTTTCTTTCTTTCTTTTTTCTTTCTTTCTCTCTGTCTCTCTTTCTCTCTGTATTTCTTTCTCTCTTTGTCTCTTCCTCTCTTTTTCTCTTTCTCTCTTTCTGTCTTTGTCTCTTTCTTTCTTTCTTTCTTTCTTTCTTTCTTTCTTTCTTTCTTTCTTTCTTTCTCTCTGTCTCTCTTTCTCTCTTTCTCTCTTTGTCTCTTTGTCTTTTCCTCTCTTTCTCTCTGTCTCTCTTTCTCTTTTTCTCTCTTTTTCTCTTTTGTTTGTCTCTTTTTCTCTTCCTCTCTTTCTCTCTGTCTCTCTTTCTCTCATTCTCTCTTTCTCTCTTTGTCTTTTTGTCTCTTCGTCTCTTTCTCTCTGTCTTTCTTTCTCTCTTTCTCTCTTTCTCTCTTGCTCTCTGTCTCTCTTTTTCTCTTTCTCGCTTTCAAACTTCTGATTTTCCTCATTCTCTCTTTCGCTGTTTCGCGCTTTCGCTCTTGCTGTCTTCTTTCGTTTTCTCTTGCTCGCTTTCAACACTTTCTGCCTTCCCTCCTTCTCTCTTTCATGCTTTCTCTCTTTTGGTATCATTCTCTATTTCTCTCTCTCTCTCTCTCTCTCCGTCTCTCTCTGTATCTATCTGTCTCTCTGTCCCTCTCTCCACCCCACACACTTTTGAAGGTCGTCCACCCTAGAGTCCGCAGAGGTTGCGCGAGCGAAGTGAATGACACAAAAACAGCAATAGTTCTTCAAGCTTGATCCCAGAAGGTTCACGGTTTGCTCGGTTAAACGTTTGTGAACATACAGGTTCGGGGTTGGAAGAATGTCCCATGTTGCTGGGAAGCCAAACATGTTTTGCTTAGCTGCTTCCAAAGCCAAGGTTTGGGAGCATTTTTGTTTTAAATACAATTTGGGTAAATTATTTGAGTTTTGCTTTTGGGGTCTTTTTGACTCAGGTGAAGATCGTGGACGACCGGGGGCTGCACCCGGCCAAACAGGTCTTCCAGGCAATCCGTGTGCACCTCAATGAGGCGAGGGCTGGCTGTGACCGCAAAAGCCCCTGGACCTGTTGGTTTGACAAATGGGTGTGTCGTTTTTTGAGGGTACCCAATATATGTGGTTTCAAAGGGACACCAACAGGAAAACCATAATTTTTGGGGACCTCTAAGAAGAGACACGCCCAAAGGCTCAACAAGGGTCCCCTTTGTGCTCTTGGGTTAATTTCCAAAGCTCTTGTTGGATCCTTACTGAGAAACAGCAATACACATATGTGTATATATATATATATATGTACATATATATATATATATATTAGATATACATATCTACGGGCTGCCGCCCAGTGCAACCGACCCCAAGCACTTTCAGCATAGGGAATCTGTCATAGGTTGTCATTGTTGTTTACAGGGCCACTTTCGCAGGGCCTGCTATATTTCCCTGTTTTGGGAAACTATCGCGACATGTACATTTAGTAAGCGGAGAACATTTCCTTTACACAAGTCACTGGTGATGCGGGGGTGTCGAATACAGCCTCACCACGGGTGGTTAGTGGGACATTTGAACTCCATGCAATAAGAAATTCAGAAAATGATGACCCTGAACGAAGACGACGACTATTCGAAACACTGCTTTGCTGGGCAGTTGGTTAAGTTTCAAAAGCCTGTCGCCAACATTTGGGGTACGTAGAAAGAAAACAGTGCTGATGCCCCCCTCGCCCCTCCCCCCTCCCCCGGCCACAACTCGCTACCCTCCAAAAGCCCCAGCCCTCACTTCGCCAGTTAGGAGATCCGCGAGCTCCGCGCCGCCCTGTGCAGCGCCTTGAAATCGCTGCGCTGCAAGGGCCGCCTCGTGGTGATCACTCTTCGGCGCCAGGAGGCCTCCGAGGCCCGGAACTTCTTCGACTCACTCCCCGAGTTCCTAGGCTTTAACCACTTTTCGGGTTGTTCGGGCTTGGACCATAAAAGTGGCAAACAATTCATTGATTCATCGATTCATTGACTCGTTGATTCATCGATTCATTGACTCGTTGATTCATCGATTCATTGACTCGTTGATTCATCGATTCATTGACTCGTTGATTCATCGATTCATTGACTCGTTGATTCATCGATTCTCATTGATTCATCGATTCATTGACTCGATTGATTCATCGATTCATTGACTCGTTGATTCATCGATTCATTGACTCGTTGATTCATCGATTCATTGACTCGTTGATTCATCGATTCATTGACTCGTTGATTCATCGATTCATTGACTCGTTGCATTGACTCATCGATTCATTGACTCGTTGATTCAATCGATTCATTGACTCGTTGATTCATCGATTCATTGAGCTCGTTGATTTCATCGATCATTGACTCGTTGATTCATCGATTCATTGACTCGTTGATCTCATCGATTCATTGACTCGTTGATTTCATCGATTCATTGACTCGTTGATTCATCGATTCATTGCTCGTTGATTCATCGATTCAATGACTCGATTGACTCGTTGATTCCTCGATTCATAACTCGTTGAGTCACGATTCATTACTCGTTGATTCATCGAATCAATTGACTCGTGATTCATCGATTCATTGACTCTGGATTCATCGATTCATTGACTCGTTGAATCATCGATTCATTGACTCGTTGATTCATCGATTCATTGACTCTTGAATCATCGATTCATTGACTCGTTAGATTCATCGATGCATTGACTCGTTGATTCATCGATTCATTGACCTCGTGATTCATCGATTCATTGACTCTTGATTCAGATCGATTCCATTGACTCGTTGATCTTCATCGATTCATGACTCGTTGATTCATCGATTCATTGACTCGTGGATTCAACGATTCATTGACTCGTTGATTCATCGATTCATTGACTCGTTGATTCATCGATTCATTGACTCGTTGATTCATCGATTCATTGACTCGTTGATTCATCCGATTCATTGACGCGTTGAATCATCGATTACATTGACTCGTTGATTTCATCGATTCATTGACTACGTTATTCATCGATTCAAAGTGACTCGTTATTCATCGATTCATGGACTCGTATTGATCTCATCGATTCCAATGACTCGTTTTATTCATCGATTCATTGACTCGTTGATTCATCGATTCATATGACTCGTTGATTCATCGATTCATTGACTCGTTGATTCATAGATTCATTGACTCGTTGATTCATCGATCATTGACTCGTTGATTCATCGATTCATGTGACTCGTGATATCCATCGATTCATTGACCGTTGATTCATCGATTCATTGACACGATGATTCATCGATTCATTGACTCTTGATTCATCGATTCATTGACTCGAGATTTCATCGATTCATTGACTCGTTGATTCATCGATTCATTGACTCCGTTGAATCATCGATTCATTGACTCGTTGGATCCATCGATTCATTGACTCGTTGATCTCATCGATTCATTGCTCGTTGATTCTCATCATTCATTGGACCTCCGTGATTACGATTCATTGACTCGTTGATTCATCGCTCTCATTGACTCGTTGATTCTATCGATTCATTACTCGTGATTCCATCGATTCATTGACTCGTTGATTCATCGAATTCATTGGACTCGTTGATTCATCGATTCAATGACTCGTTGATTCATCGATTCATTGACCTCGTTGATTCATCGATTCATTACTCGTTGATTCATCGATTCATTGACTCGTTGATTCATCCGATTCATTGACTCGTTAAAAAAAAAAAAAAAAAAAAATATTCATCGATTCATTGACTCGTTGAATCATCGATTCATTGACTCGTTGATTCATCGATTCATTGACTCGTTTGATTACATCGATTACATTGACTCGTTGATTCTCGATTCATTGACTCGTTGATTCATCGATTCATTACTCGTTGATTTCATCGATTTCATTGACTCGTTGATTCATCGATTCATTGACTCGTTGATTCATCGAATCATTGACTCGTTGATTCGCATCGATTCATTGACTCGTGATTCATCGATTCATTGACTCGTGGATTCATCGATTCATTACTCGTTGATTCTATTCGATTCATTGACTCGTTGAGTCATGATTCATTGACTCGTTGATTCATCGATTCATTGACTCCGTTGATCATCGATTCATTGACTCGTTGATTCATCGAATCATTGACTCTTGATTCATCGGATTATTGACTTCGCTGATTCTTCGATTCATTGCCTCTTTGATTCATCGATTCATTGACTCGTTTGATTCATCGATTCATTGACTCGTTGATTCATCGATTCATTGACTCGTTGATTCATCGATTCATTGACTCGTTGATTCATCGATTCATTGACTCGTTGATTCATCGGTTCCATTGACTCGTTTGATTCCATCGGATTCATTGACTCTTGATTCATCGATTCATTGACCCTCGTTGATTCCATCGATTCATTGACTCGTTGATTCATCGATTCAATTGACTCGTTGATTCATCGATTCATTGACTCGTTTGATTCATCGATCATTGACTCTTTGATTCATCGATTCATTGACTCTTGATTCATCGATTCATTGGACTCGTTTGATTCACGATTCAATTGACTCGTTGATTCATCGATTCATGTGACTCGTTGATTCATCGATTCATTGACTCGTTTGATTTCAACGAATTCATTTGACTCGTTGAATCATCCGAATCATTGACTCGTTTATTCATCGATTCATTGACTCGTTGATCATCGATTCCATTGACTCGTTATTCATCGATTCATTGACCATCGTTATTCATCGATTCATTTGACTCGTTGATATCATCGATTCATTGACTCGTTGATTCTCGTTCATTGACTCGTTTGATTCATCGATTCTTTGACTCCGTTGATTTCAATCGATACATTGATCGTTGATTCATCGATTCATTGACTCGTTGGATTCTCGAATCATTTACACGTTGATTCATCGATTCATTGACTCGTTTATTCATCGATTCAATTGACTCGTTTGATTCATCGATTCATTGACTCGTTGATTCATCGATTCATTGACTCGTTGATTCATAGATTCATAGACTCGTTGATTCATCGATATCAATTTGACTCGTTGATTCATCGATTCATTGACTCGTGATTCATCGATTCCATTCGACTCGTTGATGTCATCGATTCATTGACTCGTTGATTCATCGATTCATTGACTCGTTGATTCATCGATTCGATTGACTCGTTGATTCATCGATTCATTGACTCGTTGATTCATCGATTCATTGACTCGTTGATTCATCGATTCATAGACTCGTTGATTCATCGATTCAATTGACTTCGTTGATTTCATCGATTCATTGACTCGTTGATTCACGATTCATTGACTCGTTGATTCATCGATCATTGCTCGTTGATTCATCGATTCATTGACTCGTTGATTCATCGATTCATTGACTCGTTGATTCATCGATTCATTGACTCGTTGATTTCCTCGAATTCATTGACTCGTTGATTTCATCGTATTCATTGACTCGTTGATTCATCGATTCATTACTCGTTGATTCCATCGATTCATTGACTCGTTTGATTCATCGAATTCATTGACCCCCTCCCCCGGTTATTGAATCATTCGATTCATTGACTCGTTGATTCATCGATTCATTGACTCGTTGATTCATCCGATTCATTGACTCGTTGAATTCATCGATTCATTGACTCGTTGATTCATCGATTCATTGACCTCGTGATTCATCGAATCATTGACTCGTTGATTCATCGATCCTGGGCTCAAGGACCTTCATCGATCATTTGACTCGCAATCGCTCAACTCACGTGCCCCTTAGGGTTCATCATTCATTGACTCTTGATTCATCGAATCATTACTCGTGATTCCTCGATTCATTGACTCGTTGATTCATCGATTCATTGACTCTTGATTCATCGATTCATTGACTCGTTGATTCATCGATTCATTTGACACGTTGTTCCATCGATTCATTGACACGTTGATTCATCGATTCATTGACTCGTTGATTTCATCGATCATTGACTCGTTGATTCATCGATTCATTGACTCGTTGAATTCCTCGATTCATTGACCTTGCCGTTGATTCATCGATTCATTGACTCGGTGATCATTGATTCAAAGATTCATTGACTCGTTGGATTCATCGATTCATTGACTCTTTGATTCATCGATTCAGTGACCTCGTTGATTCATCGATTCATTGACTCTGATTCATCGATTCATTGACTCGTTGATTCATCGATTCAATGAACTCGTATGAATTCATCATTCATTGACTCGGTGATTCATCGATTCATTTGACTCGTTTGATTCATCGATTCATTGCTCGTATTGATTCATCGATTCATTGACTCGTTGATCATCGATTCATTGACTCGATGATTCATCGATTCATTGACTCGTTTGAATCATCGATTCATTGACTCGTTGATTTCGAGCGATCATTGACTAGTTGATTCATCGATTCATTGACTCGTTGATTCATCGAAATTCATTGGAACTAGTGATTCATCGATTCATTGACTCGTTGAGTCATCGATTCAGTGACTCGTTTTGAATCATCGATTCATTGACCTCTTTGATTCATCGATTCATTGACTCGTTGATTCATCGATTCATTGACTCGTTGATCACGATCATTGACTCGTTGATTCATCGATTCATTGACTCGTTGATTCATCGATTCATCTGACACGTGATTCATCGATTCATTGACTCGTTGATTCATCGATTCATTGACTCCTTTGCTTCATCGATTCATTGACTCGTTGATTCTTCGATTCATTGACCGTTGATTCATCGATTCATTGACTCGTTGATTCATCGATTCATTGACTCGTTGATTCATCGATTCATTGACTCGTTGATTCATCGATTCATTGACTCGTTGATTCATCGATTCATTGACTCGTTGATATGTCATCGATTCATTGACCTCGTTGATCTCATCGATTCATTGAACCCTCGTTATTCATCGATTCATTGACTCGTTGATTCATCGATTCATTGACTCGTTGATTCATCGATTCATTGACTCGTTGAATCATCGAGTCATTGACTCGTTGATTCATCGATTCATTGACTCGTTGATTCATCGATTCATTGATTCGTTGATTCACGATTCATTGATTCGTTGAATTCATCGATCATTGACTCGTTGATTCATCGATTCATTGATTCGTTTATTCATCGATTCATTGACTCGTTGATTCTCGATTCATTGACTCGTTGATTCATCGATTCATTGACTCGTTGATTCATCGATTCATTGACTCGTTGATTCATCGATTCATTGACTCGTTGATTCATCGATTCATTGACTCGTTGATTCATCGATTCATTGACTCGTTGATTCATCGATTCATTGACTCGTTGATTCATCGATTCATTGACTCGTTGATTCATCGATTCATTGACTCGTTGATTCATCGATTCATTGACTCGTTGATTCATCGATTCATTGACTCGTTGATTCATCGATTCATTGACTCGTTGATTCATCGATTCATTGACTCGTTGATTCATCGATTCATTGACTCGTTGATTCATCGATTCATTGACTCGTTGATTCATCGATTCATTGACTCGTTGATTCATCGATTCATTGACTCGTTGATTCATCGATTCATTGACTCGTTGATTCATCGATTCATTGACTCGTTGATTCATCGATTCATTGACTCGTTGATTCATCGATTCATTGACTCGTTGATTCATCGATTCATTGACTCGTTGATTCATCGATTCATTGACTCGTTGATTCATCGATTCATTGACTCGTTGATTCATCGATTCATTGACTCGTTGATTCATCGATCATTACTCGTTGATTCATCGATTCATTGACTCGTTGATTCATCGATTCATTGACTCGTTGATTCATCGATTCATTGACTCGTTGATTCATCGATGACTCATCATCGATTCATTGACTCGTTGATTCATCGATTCATTGACTCGTTGATTCATCGATTCATTGACTCGTTGTTTCATCGATTCATGACTCGTTGATTCATCGATTTCATTGACATCGTTGATTCCATCGATTCATTGACTCTTGATTCATCGATTCATTACTGTTGATTCATCGATTCATCTGACTCGTTGATTCATCGAGTCATTGACTCGTTGATTCATCGATTCATTGACTCTTTGATTCATCGATTCATTGACTCGTTATGCATCGATTCATTGATTCGTTGATTCATCGATTCATTGATTCGTTGATTTCATCGATTCATTGACTCGTTGATTCATCGATTCATTGACTCGTTGATTCATCGATTCATTGACTCGTTGATTCATCGATTCATTGATTCGTTGATTCATCGATTCATTGATTCGTTGATTCATCGATTCATTGACTCGTTGATTCATCGATTCATTGATTCGTTGATTCATCGATTCATTGATTCGTTGATTCATCGATTCATTGACTCGTTGATTCATCGATTCATTGACTCGTTGATTCATCGATTCATTGAACACGTTGATTCAATCGATTCATTGACTCTTTGATTCATCGATCTCATTGATTCTTGATACATCCGATTCATTGATTCCGTTGATTCATCGATTCATTGCTCGTTGTTTCATCGATTCATTGATTCTTGATTCATCGATTCTTGATTCGTTGATTCATCGATTCTTGATCGTTGATTCATCGATTCATTGACTCGTTGATTCATCGATTTCATTGACTCGTTGATCATCGATTCATTGACTCGTTGATTTATCGATTCATTGATTCGTTGAATTGTTGATTCAGTGATTCGTTGATTCAAATCGATTCAATGATTCGTTGATTCATCGATTCATTGATTCGTTGATTCATCGATTCCATTGACTCGTGATTCATCGATTCATTGGACTCGTGTGATTCATCGATTCATTGACTCGTTGATTTACGATTCATGATTCGTTGATTCATCGATTCATTGATTCCGTTGATTCATCGATTCATTGACTCGTTGATTCATCGATTCATTTGACTCGTTGATTCATAGATTCATTGACTCGTTTGATTTATCGATTCATTGATTCGTTGATCATCGATCATTGATTCGTTTGATTCATCGATTCATTGATTCGTTTGAATCATCGATCATTGACTCGTGAATTCAACGATTCATTGACATCGTTGATTCATCGATTCATGGACTCGTTGATTCATCGATCCATTGACTCGTTGATTCATCGATTCATTACTCGTTATTTATCGATTCATTGATTCGTTGATTCATCGATTTCATTGATTCGTTGATTCATCGATCATTTGACTCGTTGATTCATCGTTTCTTGACTCGTTGATTTATCGATTCATTGTTTCGTTTATTCATCGATTCATTGAGTCGTTGATTCATCGATTTCATTGATTCGTTGATTCATCGATTCAATTGATTCGTTGATTCATCGATTCATTGACTCCGTTGATTCATCGATTCCATTGACTCGTTGATTCATCGATTCTTGACTCGTTGATTCATCGATTCATGACTCCGTTGATTCATCGATTCATAGACTCGTTGATTCATCGATTCCAATTGACGCGTGGATTCATCGATTCATTGATTCGATGAATCATCGATTCATTGATTCGTTTGATTCATCGATTCATTTGATTCGTTGATTCATCGATTCATTGATTTCGTTGATTCATCGATTCATTGACTCGTTGATTCACGATTCATGACTCGTTGATTCATCGATTCATTGATTCGTTGATTCAATCGATTCATTGATTCGTTTGATTCATCGATTCATTCATGCATTGATTCATCGTTCATTGATTCTCAGATTCTCACCTTCATCGATTCGTTGATTATCGATTCCATTGATCGTTTGATTCCTCGATTCATTGACTCGTTGATTTATCGATCATTGATTCGTTGATTCATCGATTCAATGATTCGTTGATTCAACGTTCATTGATTCGTTGATCATCGATGTCATTGACTCGTAGATTCCACGATTCATTGACTCCGTTGATTTATTCGATTCATTGATTCGTTTAATCATCGATTCATTGACTCGTTGATTCATCGATTCATTGATTTGATTCGATTCATTGATTCGTTTCATCGATTCATTGATTCGTTGATTCATCGATTCTTTGATTCGTTGATTCATCGATTCATTCGTTGATTCATCGATTCATTGACTCGTTGATTCATCGATTCATTGATTCGTTGATTCATCGATTCATTGATTCGTTGATTCATCGATTCATTGATTCGTTGATTTATCGATTCGTGATTCATCGATTCATTGATTCGTTGATTCATCGATTCATTGACTCGTTGATTCATCGATTCATTGACTCGTTGATTTATCGATTCATTGATTCGTTGATTCATCGATTCATTGATTCGTTGATTCATCGATTCATTGATTCGTTGATTCATCGATTCATTGATTCGTTGATTTATCGATTCATTGACTCGTTGATTCATCGATTCATTGATTCGTTGATTCATCGATTCATTGACTCGTTGATTTATCGATTCATTGACTCGTTGATTTATCGATTCATTGATTCGTTGATTCATCGATTCATTGATTCGTTGATTCATCGATTCATTGACTCGTTGATTTTCGATTCATTCGTTGATTTATCGATTCATTGATTCGTTGATTCATCGATTCATTGATTCGTTGATTCATCGATTCATTTCGTTGAATCGATTCTCGTTGATTATCGATTCATTGATTCGTTGATTCATCGATTCATTGATTTTATCGATTCATTGACTCGTTGATTTATCGATTCATTGATTCGTTGATTCATCGATTCATTGATTCGTTGATTCATCGATTCATTGACTCGTTGATTTATCGATTCATTGACTCGTTGATTTATCGATTCATTGATTCGTTGATTCATAGATTCATTGGTTGATTGATTTGATTTGACGTTGATTTGGAACATATTTGTTTAAATTTTGATTTGATTTGACTGGTTTGCTTTGTTTTGATTTGGTTGTTTGGTTTGGTTGGGTTGGGTTGGGTTGGGTTGGGTTGGGTTGGGTTGGGTTGGGTTGGGTTGGGTTGGGTTGGGTTGGTTGGGTTGGGTTGGGTTGGGTTGGGTTGGGTTGGTTGGTTGCTTAGTTGCTTGGCTACTTTGCTGCTTGGCTGGTTCGTTGGCTTGAATTGACTTGGTTTGTTTTTGTTTTGTTTTGGTTTGATTTGGATTGATGTGAAGGTCTATGGTCCTTTCCTTCCTGGTTCTCAGCAGGGACCCATGAGCCATTCCTTATGCTTTTCTAGGGGATCCAGTGGTTTTTTGGAATCCCCCTATTGATTCCTTACTGACTGAGAACCAACAAGTTTTGGGAGGAACTCTTGCCGGCCTGATGGAAGTTGACACTCATCAAGCACGCTGAGTTGACACGTCCGACTCAACCCACAGCAGAACCTCATTTGTCAAACCTTTTAAAACTTGGACACACAGGTGTCCTTTTTGGTTGTTTTGTTAGACAGTAGATGGCCCTGGTTGACCTGGTTGTTTCATTATCTACCAGGGCCATCTATGTTCCCAAAATTGACAAACTTGAAACTTGGACAACCAGAAAAAGCAGGGTCTTTCTACCACCCCAGTTTTGTTTGAGGTCCGCCTCCTGCTTTCAGGTGAAGCGCTTTCTGCGGGAGCACGAGGCCCCGGACCTGCGCTTTGCGGCCTTTGTGACGCCCAGGCCGACCAAAATCGGTTGCTGATTTGGGTGTGTCTTTTTTCAGAGAACCCCCCCCCTCCCAAAGTGGTGCTTTCCTTTTTGGTGTTCCTTCAAAACTATTAAGAAAAGGGGGCCCTCAAAAATGGGCAGCCCCATTTGCACCATTGGTCGCGTTGTTTCCCAGGACGCCCCTTGAGATTCAAGGGAAGTGAACTTTCCGTCCTACTGCGGGTGGACAAAATGCGCTTCACACCACTTGGGATAGATGAAACCCTATACATAAAGGAATAAACCACCCACCAATCCAATTGGTGCCGGATTTTGTCCATCCACATTATGTCCATCATGTTGCTTTGACTCACTTGCCCAAAGCGAATCGGCCCAACGGACCGTTTGATTTGAGAACAGTTTTGGTCGAGTCATGGCCCCAAAGCGTGATGGTCTTTTGTTTTTACGTCTGGTTCAAAGGGAAGACAAATGGACCACATCTCATTTCGGGAGTCAGATTTTTGAGACACACCCCAGTGGCGAAGGGTGGGCCAAAATGTCCGAAGGCAAGGGCGGGAAGGCGGGTCAAAATGGTTGTGAGAAAAAGCGTACCCTTCAGCGGTTATGGGAACCAAATGGAAACCGCTCGGAAGTCCCCTATGCCCAGGCTCAGGACCCCTTGAAGTCCCCTATACCACTGGGCAAGTCATCCTGACGAAACTCTGGCACCCAGATCCGAGCCCAAAAAGGGAAGCGGGGCCCCACAACTGATAGGGCACTTTGCTTTTTGGTTATGTTTCAACATGCTTTTTGGGACGCGAAAAAGCCGGATGAGCCTGCATCACAGCCTCAAAGCCCGGCTGGGCAGATTAAAACCCTTTGAACTTTTGGAGTGTACTGATTCTTGGCAAAACGATTTGAGAAGCCCACCACCTTTTCCGCGGAGTGTCGTTCATCAGAAGCCCCTGCACCATTTCTACCGACCTGTTTCGATGTGATTTGGTTCGATGTGGTTTTGGAGTTTCCTTGTTGCCCATTTTTCTATTTCAAACTCTTCACTATGAATCTACCCCCTGTCAGTTTCAATGTTGGCATGCTCCAGGGGATTGGTAGTAGTAGTAGTAGTAGTAGTAGTAGTAGTAGTAGTAGTAGTAGTAGTAGTAGCAGCAGCAGTAGCAGTTTTCGTAGTCGTAGTCGTAGTCGTAGTCGTAATCGTAGTCGTAGTCGTAGTCGTTGTAGTAGTAGTAGTAGTAGTAGTAGTAGTAGTAGTAGTAGTAGTAGTAGCACTTAGTAGCAGTAGTAGTAGTGGTAGTAGCAGCAGCAGCAGCAGCAGCAGCAGCAGGAGGAGGAGGAGGAGTAGTAGTAGTAGTAGTAGTAGTAGTAGTAGTAGTAGTAGTAGTGGTAGTATTAGTAGTGGGAATAGTAAAGTGCTGAACTCGGTCCAGGCGCTTGGTGGAGCTTTGGCCCCTCGCGAGCACGGACTTGCCTTACGCCTGCCGCCAACTCTGCAGCTCGATGTAAACAAGGGCACGGACGATTCGAGCCCTATCTAAAATGCAATATCTGTTTCGAGCCCACCGAAAACTCCGATGAAGGTCCCTTATCTCAGGGCGGGACATGTATTCGCATGTGTATGTCCATATGTTTGCATTTAAATATATATATATATATATATGTATACCTGGTACAGAAACCAGAAGGAACCCATGAGCGAACTGTTTTCATTACACACAATTAATCCACCCCCCTTCCTTTTAATCCACCCCTTTTTTTTTTTAACCGTACTTCAACCTGCTGGATGATCTTTCATATGAAAACCAAACAGAGGTTCAAAGCCATCCTTTCTCACTACACAAGTGATCCGCACCCCTCTTGTGGATGATCTTTGATATTGAAACCAACAGGACACCCACACTGTTCAAAGTGATCCTTTTATTACATAAGTGCTCCAACCCCTTTTTTTAAATACAGACACTGCCTGTCAACGTGATCCGAGCCAGCGCCCTTTAGCTGGCCACACCGTTTCAAGTGGCTTTTTAGTTGCACAAATACTCCAACCCCGTTTTTGCTGATCTTAAATATTGCAACCAAACGGACACCCACGCTTTTCACAGCGGGCCTTTTAATTTTACAGGGAACCCATACTTTTCAAAGTGAGCTTTGTTGCTTGCAAACGTGCTGTAACCTTTGTTAGATGCTCCTGAATGGAGAAACCACAAGGACACTCGTACTTTTCAAAGTGATTTTGTCATTTATCGTGATCCACCCCTTCTTGGATAGTGTTCAATATGGACACCAAAAGGACACACACCCACAATTCACACGTGACCCACCCTCTTTTAAAGGACTTTCTCCACTCTGGATGCCTATTATTTCACAGTTGTTCCTACCTCTTTCGCGTTGTTTGGATACCAAAGGGACACCCACCACCAAAGCAAAGCCCGCACTTTTCCCTTTTCACTTTGAACGTGCTCCAAACCCTGTGAGATGACTTTCTATGAAGCCAAAACGAACTCACACTTTGCAATGTGATCCTTTTTCATTTTTACACGTGAGCCAGCCGTTTTTGAATGCTGGAAACCGAACGGGTTTTCATACTTTTCACAGTGGTGCTTTTTGGTTCCAAAGTGATCCAACCCCCTTTTGGATGATGTCTAATATGGACATCAACAGAAACCCCGTTGCAAATTGATCCTGGATGCTCTTTAATGTGAAAAGCACAAGGACACCCACACTTTTCAAAGTGATCCTTTTTCAATCCCAAAGTGAACCAACCCGTGTTTGGTTGAGTTTTATTCTGGACTCCGAAGGAAGCCCACACTTTTCAGAGTGATCCTTTTATATTAAAATGTAATTACATCCTTTTGGGACGATCTTTAATATGGAAATTCACAGGACACATGGACTTTTCAGAGTGATCCTGTTTCATTTCAACAGTGATTCGCTCCTGCTTTGGATGATCTTTAAAACTGACACCAAAGGAGACCCTACACCTTGTGCAGTGATCCTTTTTCATCTCACACGTGATCCAACCCCTTTGTGATTTTTTCTTTTCTAGAAAGCAAAAGCACACACACACACACTTTTCAAAGCCATTTGTCATATCACCAGCGATCCAACCTCTTTCGGATGATCTTGAATATGGAATCCACAAGGAATCCCTCACTTTTCAACGCGATCCTTGCTCATTTCATAAGTGCTCCACTCCTTTTGGATCATCTCTAACATGTGATCCTTTTCATTGCAAACCTGTTCCATCCCTTCTTACAGATCTTTGATGTGGACACCAAAAGCAGACGTTTCCGAGTGCTATTACACAAGTGATTTCTAGCCTTTGGATGATCTGTAATATTGAAACCAAAGGACCCCCCCCACTGTTTAAAGTGATCCTTATTTGCTTCACAAGCGTTCCAACTTTTTTTCTTTCTTTTGTACACCAAAAGGAAACCCACACTTTCCAAAGTCAACTTCTTTTGAGCGAAGTGACCCGCTTGTTTTGTCCAAAGGAAGCGCCCGAGTGTCCCGGCGCGGCTCAGGCGAGCCCATTCGAGCTTCCGCCCACGAGGTGGCTCGGAATCCCAGGGCCAAAGTCGCCCTCTTGCACGTGCCCGGGCCTTGGCACGTGGGAAATCAAGCCTGGAGCATTGGGCATGACTGCAGTGCCATGAGCCTTGGAAAAGGCCCTGCCTAGATTTCGATGTGACACCCAGGGAATCGTCCTGAACGGGAAGTTTGTGGATGGGAATTCCACTTTGGTATCACAGAAAATCCGCTTGTTTCCACGACAACCATAACCATGTCCCCCATCAGGCACATTTTGGTTCAAAAGGCCGGGGACTCCAAAGTTTGTTTTAGTGGTGGGTGTCTTTGGATTACATTCGCAGGCTGCAGAAGGAAGCCCGGCCGCTCGAGCCGTGCAAGAAGCTGGGGCTGATTGGGCTTCAGCCGCGCCCCATGGAGTCCCAGTTCAGGACACCGTCACCAGCACCTTTGGGTCCGACAACCGGGAGGCGGCCTGAAGCAAACCAAGCCATCTCCCAACAAGGTCTCCCAAATGGATGTTTGGGACATCGCTATTCGTACCGTGGCTTTTCTCTCATATTTCATGTCACAGGTAGGTCAGGTGCAAAAGGTCGCTTGGTTTTGCCACAAGCGTCAATATTTTGCCATTGTCTCAAATAAACACCTCTCTTTTTTTGCCCGGAAACCCAAACAACGCCGAGAAGCCTGGAACAACATCGAAGACACTCCCTCAAATAACTTTCGTGTCGGCAAGGGTCGAAGCGCCCAATTTTCCTGTTGTCTTGAGACTTCAGGACACCGTCCTAATTTTTCGTACTTGGCTCATCCAAACGGATGGCCTTCCACTCACTTAAGCAGGCTGTTTTCCACAACGCAGGACTCCTGCAGCGCTGCCCTTGTTCGAGGCAGCCGAAAGCGCTGAAAAAGGAGAGTGACGACTACTCGTTCTTGGACTTGAACTATTTGGGCAGTGCGAGTACATCATTTTTGACAAATGCTTTTTTCATGTTTTTTTTTTTTTTTTTGCCGAAAGCATCGCGAAGGCTTCTTGGGAGGCCTTGGACCAACTTGCACAGAGCATCTTGCACAGTGTCTAGAAATTTGCGCAGATAATTTTCGGAGAGAACTTTGCAGACAGGACTTGTTTTCCATCAGGCATTTCTGGGTGTGGGGACAATCGCTGGCATGGTTGGATTGCGTTGCGGTCTTTTCCCCCGCAACTCGCACCTCATTTTTCACGCATTGAATGCCCCCGCTTGTTCTTCTCTTGTCATCGACACAGAGAGCTACTGTAGCTGTTACTGCAATTAGTTGGCGTACCACAGAAGTTCCTTCTAAACTTCCCTTGACTATGGAGGATGCGAGTACTGCTGCAGGCTCGGACGACCACATACACGTTTCACATTATAATTATAGCGAAAAAGGGCAACTGGTCTTTCTTGGTTTCTTTTGGGATTTGGTTCCCTCTTTTTCTTTTGCCCCTGAGCGGGCGTGTGGTTTTGGGGTGAGGCTTGCCCGAAGGCAAATATTGGCAAGATGTCGTGAAGCACCCGTGGCCCTAGGGTCCTGGCAATCGGGCGGTTGTTGCGAGCTACAATTCTGCGCGGTTTCTCGTAGTGAAAGTCGGTCAGCCAAATTGGCAGCAAAAAAGGTCCACCATTCTGAGAAAACCTCATGCGCACAAGAGTCAATCGGTTGACGGCGACTATGTCCAAAGGTTCAGAGTGAACGCGTAAACTGTTCTAGCTCCCCCGGTTAGAACAACTTGATGTCGGGGACAGGGTTCAGCCCGACCGACTGGATCAAGATCACCTCAGCTGCTGAGGTGGCCGAAAGTTTCGGCCAGAAGACGCATCGCACCCTCCAAATCCAGCTGAAACTTTTCGAGAGAACCTTGGGATGACTTGAACTGGGCAAACTATTGTGCATTTTAGGGTGGACATGCAAAACATAGTTTAAGAGCATTCTTTCAGTGTACCCCAGCTGTGGGCCAAGTTGTTAAAGGGGGTCAAAGATTCAGGGGATAAGGCGGGGAGACGAGCACTGATGCAGATGGGCGGCTGAAGCGATGGCATGGCCTTCGTAGCGCGCTCCCCATTGGGCCATTGTCGGTTTTCCAAGTTGGGATGATGGGGTGAGAGGGCGAGGTGGGGTGAGAGTAAGTTGAGGCGGGGGTGAGAGCGGGGTGAGAGTGGAGTGAGAGTGGGGTGAGAGTGGGGCAAGTGGGCGTGAGAGGGGTCAGTCCGGTGAGCTCAGGTGAGACTGGGGTGAGAGCGGGGTTGAGAGTCGGCGAGAGTGGTGCGAGTGGGGTGAGAATGGGGTGAAAGTGAGGTGAGACTGGGGTGAGAATGGGGTGGCAGTGGTCCGAGCGAGAGGGGTCAGAGTGGGGTTAGACTGGGGTGACAGGGGTGCGAGTGAGAGGGTAAGAAGGGTGAGAGGGGCGAGAATGGGGTGTGGGTGGGGTGGGTGCGAGTGGGTTCAGAATGGAGTGAGAATTGGTGTCGTGAATTGGGATTGGCCCAACCTACCTGACAATCAACTGTTTGCGACTCATGCCACATGTCCGAAATTTGTTTCTTCTTCTCAACATTAAACGTGGATGTTCATCAACTCAAAGCAACACATGCCATGTCAATACCTCCACCACTGTTGGGAAATAGGGCGATGATTTGCTCAATTGGACCCAAATGGACATGTTCTGAACAGGCCCCCGCCCCAAGTCAAGCCACATCATTTGTGGCTGTCCTAGCCTTCTCACCTTACCGGCACTCTCACCTCAGTCTCACCTCGCTCCTCACTCTCGGCACTCTCACCTCACTCTTGCCTACAACTCATTCTCACCTCGCTCCTCACTCTCGCCTCACTCTCACCTCGCTCTCACTTTACTCTCGCTTGTGACTCAGACTCACCTCACTCTCACCTCACTCTTACCACACTCTCACTCTCACCTCACTTTCGCTTCACTCTTACCTCACTCTCGCTTCACTCTCGCTTCACTCTCTCTTCACTCTTAACTCACTCTCACCTCACTCTTAACTCACTGTCACCCACCTACCTCTCACCGTACTCTCACCTTAGTCTTCCCCCACCTCATCATTGCCTTACTTTCACCTCACCCCACCTTACCCCTCACCCCACCACACACACACACACCCATATTCCTCCGACGAAACAATCAAGGCATGCTAGGTTGCTGCGCTGCATCCCAGCCCATTCCCTTGAGGCGCCTGGACAGCGGCCATGGGTCGGACCCGAACAAACGCAAGGCTGGGGAGTTCAGAAGGCTGGCCTTGGGGTGGATTTCTGGTGAGCTACCACATTGCGATTCTGGATACCATGGAGTTTTTTAGCTATTCCTTTAAATGAAGCGCGGTCAAAATTACTTCTGTTGAATTTAGTATTCGGCGTTGCATTGATGGTACGGAAATGCACACAACTATGGCAAACGATAGGGGACTCTCAAAAAAACAATACCTTTGAGCAATTTAGTTTATGTTCGCGTGCTTGTTGTTTCTGTATGGGATTGCAATTTTTCTGCTGATTGGACTCAGATGAGGCACTCCACTTTATTTGAAAAAGGGCACTCTCTTTACACAGGCTACTTGTGCTGGGGCACGCCTTCAATTCAAGTGGCTCCCGCCTTTCTGTAGACCCTGGCCCAGCCAGCGTTTGCTCCCTGTTTCCCACCTCGTTCAAAATGCAGCCTTAGTCTTCATGCCCAATGGCAAGGGGTTACGCACGGACCTTTTATAAAGATGGAGGTGCTTCTTGCCTGCGCCGGGTGCTCCGAGATGGGAGGGGTGGTGAACGCTTTTTGGGCAAGCTCTTTGGGATGCGCGCTCTCCTTGTAGTTCCGTGGAAGCGTGGCAAACGGACACTTCATGGGTGGGCACGAATGCCAGAACAGGATAACCAACCACCAAATCGTCGGGCAGCAGCGCGGGTTGCGAGGCGCACGCATGCAACGCATGCGTAGGTTGTTTCTTGCGCATGCTTGGGCCAAGGGAAGCTTAGCAGAGTTTTCTAGTCTTGGCAGGCGGTTTGAACGATACCCCGAACGATACCTAAACGATAGCCGGAAAACACAAGAATACGGCCAGACCACCGCGTACCGCTCACACTACCACATTTGGCTGTTCCCACTCGGCCTCCTCTCCTCTCCTCCTCCACCCCCTCCCTCTCCGCTCCTCCCCCTCCTTCTCTCCTTCTCTCCTTCCTTTCCTTTCCTTTCCTTCCCTTCCCTTTCCTTCCCTTTCCTTTCCTTCCCTTCCCTTCCCTTTCCTTCCCTTCCCTTTCCTTTCCTTCCCTTCCCTTCCCTTTCCTTCCCTTCCCTTCCCTTCCCTTCCCTTTCCTCTTCCTCTTCCTCTTCCTCTTCCTCTTCCGCTTCCTCTTCCTCTTCCTCCTCCTCCTCTTCCTCCTCCTCTTCCTCTTCCTCTTCCTCTTCCTCTTCCTCTTCCTCTTCCTCTTCCTCTTCCTCTTCCTCTTCCTCTTCCTCTTCCTCTTCCTCTTCCTCTTCCTTTCTTCCTTTCTTGCTTCCTTGCTTCCTTGCTTCCTTGCTTCCTTGCTTCCTTGCTTCCTTGCTTCCTTCCTTCCTTGCTTCCTTGCTTCCTTGCTTCCTTGCTTCCTTGCTTCCTTGCTTCCTTGCTTCCTTGCTTCCTTGCTTCCTTGCTTCCTTGCTTCCTTGCTTCCTTGCTTCCTTGCTTCCTTGCTTCCTTGCTTCCTTGCTTCCTTGCTTCCTTGGCTTCCTTGCTTCCTTGCTTCCTTGCTTCCTTGCTTCCTTGCTTCCTTGCTTCCTTGCTTCCTTGCTTCCTTGCTTCCTTGCTTCCTTGCTTCCTTGCTTCCTTCCTTCCTTCCTTCAATCCTTCCTTCCTTCCTTCCTTCCTTCCTCCTTCCTTCCTTCCTTCCTTCCTTCCTTCCTTCCTTCTTCCTTCCTCTTCCGCCTTCCTGCCCTGCTCTTTCGCCTTGCTTCATGCTTTCATTCCTTCGTTCCTCCTTGCCTGTCCTGCTTTTCTCCTTCTCTTCCTCCTTGCCATTTCTCCTTTGTAACTCCTCCCTGTCTTCCCTCTCTGCTTTAATTCCTTTCTTCACTTCCCGTCTTCCCTTCTTTTCTTCTTCCCTTCTTTTCTTCTTTTCTTCTTCCCTTCTTTCCTTCCCTTATTCCTTCCCTCCCTGCTCCTTCTCTGCCTCTCTTTCTGCTCCTCCTCGTCTATTCCCGCAATGCTTGCAGAGTGAGAAGTGTCAGAAAACACAAAACGCTGGAAAACGATAGGGGGCTCTCAAACTAAGTAGCGAAACGGCCGCAAATCGTTGTGATTCTTCTTTTGCACAGGGGCAGCTGAGTTTTTCTGTGCATGTTATTTTCTGTGCGCAAGCGCTTCTTTGAGCAAGTTCTCTCAGTAAGTTTTTTCTGAGCAAAAGAACACTTGGGTATCTCTTGCACAAAAAGGCAAACATGATTCAACATCGCCCATGAAGAAAGCTTTTCCACAGTCTCGAC